TTTATTTCATATGTGAGATTACTAAATATTTAAAACGTTAATATCTCATTCACTTATTAAGATGGACAAAATGCCAAAAAAAAAAATAATAATTCAAACAATCCCTAATTTTTTTTTCCAATTTCCGCCATACTTTTAATAAAAAATAAACTAATACAATCTGTCAACTTTTTTTTTTTGTGGTATTTATTTCTTTTGGTTATTATTTGTAGATTTGTTTGGATCATTTGTGTTATAAGTCGCAACGTTTATAAATACGCAAGCCTAGCCCGTTTTAACCAACTATTTTGTTAATTATTAAATATTTTTTATGAGTTTATCTTTAATACCCCGCTACCGATTTTTATTTCTTTTTTATTATTTCAAAAAAGTCTAGCCCAATGCATTCGATAAATTATATAATAATTATTTTTATACTAAACAGATATTATTCTCATGTTTTAAATTAAAATATCCTTTATATAAAATATTTTTATGATCTGTAAAAAAAAATATATATTTAAACCAAAAAAATACTTCTATGAATCTTTATTGAATTGAGTTCGGTTGTCTCTAGAAAAAAAAATATAACAAGGAAATGATTTCAGAGGTTCTAAAGAAATTACCCGTTCTGATAATTATAATAAAGTAATAATGATAAATTTAAAGATGTTTAGTGATAGTTAGAGATTACTTATTAAAGACTTATTAAGTCTCGCTTAAGGTTTAATAATTCGTTTTTACAAAATTCACTGCTATTATTATATTATTATTATCATATTTTATAAGTTTCAGTTTTTATTTCAGAAAGTTATGGAAAAACGTTTAGAAAAAAATGGTTAGAAAGTAGAAATTTTAAAAAATGGGAATTATCGTCAGCTCAATTTAAGACATAGATTAATGACTAAATGATTAATTTGAACCGAGTAGCCTAAGTTATAATTGAAAAATCTAAATTATTATGAAAGTTATTATTTTAAAGTATTCTGTATTTTCATGGAAAAAAAAAATAGATCCAAAAGTATAAATTTCCATTTTGAGAAAAACAACCAAACAAGCTCTACTATAGTCCTTTAATCAAAATATAAGAAAAATAAAAACTGGTTGCTTAAAGGAAAATTATATATTATTTTATACATCAAAACATTTTTTGTCTGATGTTTTGAGTATTGGATTGTTATAGAGTTGATAAACTTTATAAGCTTTTGATATAAAATTATAGCTATATATGTAACGATAGACCAGATCTTTATCCTATAACAGGCACTCGAAAAAGGAAGGAAAGCACCTCAGGATGTATATGCCTTATTCGTCGATCTCAATGCAGCCTATTTGATTCCTTCCTAAGTCCAATTCCTTGGACAGAACGTTTCTTTGGATGACCATGACTGAGTCGAATGACCCTGAATATCGAGTCCTATTAAAAAAGAGGGCTATCTGAAGCCTTCAAAGTTCGAACTCGCCGATACCGTTGAGCTTGCATTGAATAAGGGGATAAGAACGTCATGTGAAAATGTCGGTTCGAATCATAAAATCCTTGGATTTGCAGATGATATAGCTGTCATGTCATCTTAAAAGCAACGAATAGGACATTGAGAAACTCGCTAAGACTGGGGAAGACAAGATACGCAGAATAAATCGACCTTAAAATAAATTAAGATTAAATAAAATCTATGATATTAAGCCGAATATCCCAACAAAAGGATCTGCGTAGAATGGAACTCGTTCCCCAAAGATGACACATTCAAATACCTTGTCTCTGTAATAACCTCGATTAATGATCAACGGTCAGAAGTAAAACAACGTATTTCATATTCAACCATAGCTTTCAAAAGTAAATATTTGATCAGCTCTTTTAAACGTAATGAAATCCCGAAAAATCTCTAGAAATCTCAAATTAAGGATACGCAATCCTATAGTTACGGAATGGACTTAATCCGTAACAAATAATAATAATAATAATGAAATTAATTTAACTTTTATTTTGTTAAATATCCCAATTGGTGAATCATGTATTATCTTTTAGTTTCTCACGAATCAATGGATAAAAGAACAAAGCATCCCTAGATAGCCAGGTCAAGCTATCTCTGATAGCTTAGAAATCTAGAATGTACCGACTGGACACAAGACCCATTATAAAGGAATAATAACAGATTTCAGCAAAAGGGCACTTTCTCACAGACCTCATCTTAAGAATATTAACTATTGATAACTTCCTTTGCCGTCCTCTTCCGACTTCCCTTCACTCCCTTGCTGTTCTTGGGCATATAACCCCATGCTCCTCTTGACTAATCACTCATGTTGTTACATTCTTGAAGTCACACTCTTCACTGTAGGAGACCTGGAGTGAACTCGTGTAGTCAAACTATATGTCGATAGTATATTACTCTGTATGTTAGATGCCATTTGTAACAGACATTATGAATAAAAACATTACTTAAAAAGTCTTCAGTGCCTCCGATTCGTTAACTCTATGATAAAGTCCGTTCTGATAAACTAAGATAACGAGACCTGGAAACTAAGTATTGCACTGAAAGTGAAATAAGATTTTAGAGCAAAATCCTTTGCACGATCAATTTATCATGACATGATTTACCAAGCCTAGAAGGTTAAGATGGGTGTGACGTGTATCTCGGATCAATTCTTAGGAGAAGTCTCTGCGTAACAATGAATGCCCCAACGGTAGACAGGGGGCTGAAACGTGGAAATCCTGATGGATAGGCTGAATCAACTGAAGTCCTGAAAAGATGCATGAAAACTAGAGAGCAATGGAGCCGAAATATATATGGCTATAAATAAATAAATAAATAGATTTATATTTTAGATTCCCTTCTTACTGACGCATATGTGAATCTCCACTTTCGGTCAGTTGGTAACTGAAAGAAGAAATGTAAAGTATAAGATAGGATGACAATCAAATTTTATTAAATTGATAAAGTTTAAATGACTGATTATTCATATATAGTGTGTTTCTTTATTTATTTATTTCCGTATTTTGAAATTCATATTTTGATTAGTGTTTATTTGTATACCTTTTCTTTATTATTATTCTCATGTTTAACGATTGTTCTTCACCTATTACGTTATACATATTAAGTTATAACAGTTGCAAAATCAAATGACACACAGTAAGAACCAACAGTTAATTTTTTTTATAAGATTACTATATGAATGCTGCTTTAATTATTATTTTTTTGTTTTTTAATTATTTAATAATTTGTTCTCTTTTACCTTTCAAAATGATTATTAACTGCGGACTTTAACTGAAATGGGCGTGGTTTATGGTCGTTATTTATCTTACTGAGGGAGCTATATTTATTGGTCACGTTTATCTTCTTTTTTTCCTTAGTTTTTCTTATATTTTTTTTTAAAATGAAGAATGTTTAACAGTAATTTTTTTGAGTTAAATACACCATTCCTTTTGGTGAAAATAGATATTTAGTAATTACGGTACTGAATGCTCATATTTAATTATTATTATTTTTTTATAATTATTTATTGATTTATTATTGTATAATAATTATTATTATTATTGTGATATAATTAAAAAAATAGGTAAAATTATTTCCTAGTAAATCAATATTGTCTGGAACACGCCATAATTAAACCATTTTCTCGACTGTCAGTCCTAACTGCCGTGGAAGTTCACAATTTAGCTATTAGTATAAATTTAATTATAGGTTTGAATCCGAAGTACGAATTGTTATTGTACAAACAAAGTTTAAGTTATTGCAAATTTCATCATTTTGCATCTGTTTGGGCAATATTAGTAAAAACAAATGTGTATGCTGATAAAAATATAGATTTTATTTTATGAAACAATGAACTAGAAAGAAGAGATTTCGATAAGATTTCGGGTATAGGTAAATCTTCTTGTATTCGTTACGCTCATGTTAGGAAGTCTTTGTATTGTGCAATAGAAATGACAAAATACAAAAATTTAAATTCAAAATCAAACATGAAAAGATAATTCTAAATCTGAATCCACCATAACCTATCACAAGAGAATCACCAGTTGTCCTTTCTACCGCTCTGTGATATTTTTCACTTTAACTATTGTTCAATAAAAAATATATAATTAAACATTATAATTGCTTAATATCTAAAATACAACAACTGTTAACATTTTTTTGCGTTTCTGATTTCTTACAGAACCATTGGTGTAGCTTTTCACTTGAGCATTAATAATTCTAAAACTTAAATACATAAGTGAGACCTGCCATAAAATATTAAAAAGTTTCTTAATAAAAAAAAATGATATAAAAAATAATGCGACTCTAACGACATGCAGTATATAAATAAAATTTTGTTTCATATGTAAAAATTAAAAATGACATGCAGACGATTTGTAGTAGTTTAATTGATGTTTATGTATATATTATAATTACTTACTTGATTATATATTTATTATCTATATTTAGATTTATTGACTATTGATTAAACATCATCTGTGATTAATGTAGTAAGATTTTAAAGCTAACTGTTTGATGTTGGTTTAATTTTAAAAATATATACAGCTTTTAGTAATTGTTGTTACATATACAGTGATTTTTCAATTGAATTTATATAATAGTTTTTTTTAATAAACTTTGTTATTCGATACATTTGATTCATTCAGATTGATATTAAAATTTACAGGAGGTAAAGCACAAAAATATTTTGCTGTCGATGTGAGACCAGTTATGTTTTTGTCACTTTGTCAAAACCTACCTTTCTCTGGTTACCTTCCGTCCGCTCGTTTTATCAACGTGATCAGACCATATTGGCATATGTTGCAGTGTTCACTGTTGGGAACATGTTTCTTGGATATGTTCTCATTTTGTCACACTTAATCGTTGAGTAATGAACGTTGTTATGATGCGAAATCGGTTCCATCTGTTAGCTTTTGAGAAGCTTAATCCATCGAAAATGGACCAGACGATGGTTTCACACATCAAGATATAGCGTAGATTGATTGATAGATTGATGCTAGACTACAGGTAGACTATTGCTAGAGCATAGACATAGATTAGGACTCCTACCTGAACGCTATGGGTGGCAGCCTCCCTGGTTACATGCCCGGCTAGGTCTGAGGCCCCGAGCTGGAGCGACGTCAGAGCAGGGGTATTGATCCTACGCCTACTTGTTGATGTGGTCGCCATTCATCCGATGGACGACATATTTAATACTTCTCATATCTCACCTCATCGAAAGCTTTGTCTCAATCTATATAGAAAAAATATCAAAGTATCTAGCGGATAATTCGTTTGTATCAACTATATTCAAAAGTTTTGAAAATTTCTGTTCCGAGTAATATGAAGCAACCGTTCGACTAAATAAAATGGTTGAAAATCAAATAGAAATATATATATATATATATATATATATATATATATATTTTTCACATATTGTATATAAATGAAATGAAAAATTATTTTGTTATTTTTTAACTATGTCCCTTAAGAATAAAATTAACATAGTGGCCAAAATAGTATACTCATATACTCATAAGTATAAATAAAAAATGAATGAAAAGAAGCTTAAAGGATAAGTTATAAAATAATTAAAACAACAAAACGACATTAAAAACATAAACAAATAAAAAAATTACAATAATGATAGTAGTAATATTTTTGTTTACGTATGATGAAATGACTTATCGAAAATGAACTTATGTTCGTCTGTCGAGGTGAAAAAAAAAACTCTAAAATTAACTCTGGGAAACATTTGAATTATCGGAAAAATAATTTAGTATAAAATAATAATATTAATTATACTGGGCGAGGAGAAGAAATTTGAAAGAGGAACCGTTGAAGCAAGGCGGACGATAGGTGGGATAGAGTTATAGAAAGAGGCAGCTCGGGTTAGGAAGGATTTGTCAAACGCAGCAGTTTGGTGGGGAGAGGAGTAGAAGTCAGAAGAACGTTGTCAGGATAGACGCTGTATTCAGATAACCTGATAAAAGAAGTACGCAAGGGAATACAGACACTTTTGAGACGGCTACCTATCTTTAGCTCAACATATCTCTGGCAACTCTAAAAACAAATCTAACCAAGCAATTCATAAGCCATTTAAGATTTGCATTTAGTTCGGCAGAGAGTCCACAGTACATCAGACAGCCGTAGTCAAAGACTAGGAGTTGGGGCGTTTTACGTTGGAGGAGGTAACGTAGGCGATTGAATTGAGGCAGGGTTGCCCAGAAGGGAGCAAGCTGCGTCATCAAAATTTTTGAGTGGTAAATTTCGATGGGGTTATGTATTTTCGGATTAAATGACAAGAGAAAAACATGGAACAGATTGGAGCAGGTGCAATTGTATATGATCTCCAATTTTTATAATTCTGCTTTAACTTTAGCTCTGTTTTTAAGAAAAGTGAGCAATAAAATATCTTGGGAACAGAGGGGTCAGATTCTTGCACCATTGCCCTTGGGGGGGATGAGCATCTCTGGTATAAGGGTTGGTATTGTCCAAAGGGTGATTTGGGAGATATGTTGTATCCATGGGAGGATTTGGTGAAAGGTGATTCCAAGGTTCTTAACTGAGGAATGGAATGAGATAAGATTATTCTTCAGAGTAAGGTAAGAGGGCATCTCTCTTTAAGGATCACCTCTATTTAAGGGTAAAATTTTAAATGTAGTGGAGCTTATGAAGCCTCATTTTAAGGAAAGCTCTAGGGAAGGAGGGGAAGGGTGGATATGTAAGGATCTTTTAGGGATATGTAAAGCGTACAATAGATATTACACGATAATGATTTTTAAAAAGTCTAAATAAAGAACAGCATAACGTTTAAGAAACCGGATAACCATATATTATTTACCAAGATTTCGCTTTTATTATTTACGTTTTACATATGAATACGAACTTGAATTTCCTACTGTTATCTTTTACTGGAATTGTATATATAAAATATTATGTGTACTTGTTATACAGCAAGTATGTGCATTTTGTTTATTTCTAATCGATAGTTTTTATTATTTTGTTTATTTCTTTTTTCTGATGTATGATGATTTAAATATTTTCAAATAAATGAAGCAATTTGAGTTTTGTAATATTTTTATTGCTATTTATTATTTACTTTTTGATTAACAGTTTTTATGATTGTATTGGAGGAAACTTACGGTATTTTTTACGAGCGAATATATTTTTTTTCTTTACTATTTTTCATTTTTTGTAAATATATTAATATATAAATATATTAATTAATTTTTTGTAATCTAATGTTTTTTATTTTTATTCATTAAATAATATAGGTCTTTTGGACAGAAATAATATTTGTTTTCCAGTATATAGTAGTTATTCCTAAGGGACATTTTTCCAGAATAAAGTTATTTTTCTGTTTTCTATTTAATAAAATCTAATTTTTTTTTATTTCCCTTGATTTATTTATAAGCAATTCTGTAACTGTAATAGAAAGGAACAATGTCCAACAATTATAAGCTATTTAAACCAACTAATATTGGGTAGGCCTTTATTTCCGGTAGTGAATGTTTACCCGTTTCTCTCTTGACTCAATATGCTGCTTCTGAAATCTACTGTAATAAGGTAAATACCAATTGTTTTAAAACAAAAAGTAAAAAAATAATAAACTATGTAAGAGTAATAATACTTTACCTTAAACAAAGAAATTATGTGCAAACTCAATTACAATATCTTAAAATTTAGTTTTCAAATTATGGTTCTCTTTTGGCAAGGACTGAAATATTAAACTTTTTATTTTGTGAATTTTGAAAATTAAAAATCATTACCATGCGTTTGAAAATTATTTTTTCTTTCCTTTAGTATTTCATTCCTGTTTTTATTTGCATCTCAACTTTTCCCGACACACAGAAACTGACGCCCAAAGCAAAAGTCCTTTCTTTTTTAAAAATATAGGTACCCCCCTCCTACCCACATTGGTTTGTACAGATCAGTTAAATTTTAAAATTTATATTAATTGTACTTTGCTCTTTGTAAATATCACAAATTAATATTTCTGTAATATAATCAAGCAAATTTTACAAAAATAATATAGAGTTAAAGTAATGTAAAATTGCAACAATTCCAAAGTGTATGTTTATTTTTACCGATTTAAAACCTGAACATTGTTTTCAACTCACATAAAAATAATAATAATAAATAAAATTAAAACATAATTAAGTATTATTATAATACATATAATAGAATTATTTTATGAATTGGACTATTTCAAATATAGTATATAATTTTTAAAATGATCAACGTTGTATACCATTCGAAAGTTTCTTATTTAATTTACTTTATTTTACATTTTAAAATTCAAGAAGTTTTTGGTGTTATATTCATCAACAATATTAAAAATATTCATCAAGATGAAAGACTAAAGTTAGTCTATAATTTATTTTGTCTCTTTTTCTTTCTTCGTTTCTTGAAGTATACGTATACGTTGTTCTACCATTATATATAGTTGTAAGTGTTTTCACATAGTTTTATCTGTTTTTTTATAGCTTGTTCACTTCAGGTTTTCTTTACTGTTTTTTAAATTTTATTTATGTTTTTATTTTTAGGCTTGAAGTAATCTTTTATTTTTGTACAATTTTGTTATTCTAAAGGGACTTTGTCCACAAGAAAGTTGTTTTTCTATCTACCTACTTATCTATCTATATATATATATTTTAAATCCAATAATTTGAATATGGTTCATCATCTGGTTTACATTATATAATATCTTAAGGAACTGCGATAACTCTTCTATCCAAACAAAAATCAAACATATTAATAACTTAATTCACCCTTTAATTTAGTTGAATGTGGAACCACGGTCCGCATTTAGAGATTTTAAAGGGCACCAGAGCTGGCGGAGTTCATTGCGTGGGCGGTGTGAACTGCTGGCTAAAATTATCCTCCCCTCAACCTTGAAAATACAGAATTTAAAATAAATAAAAGTGTAAAGGATATTAATAATTATATTTATTATATATTAATTTCAGGAATATATTATAAATTGATACTTTTTACAACAATAAAGAGTGTTTATTTTATCATTATTTTTTTTTCTATTAAATTTGCCACTGCGTTGTAACTCATCTAGCAAATGTGTTGGCGTTTATTCTATCTTCTTGTATTATTGATACTTGCTCAACTTGTCAACAGAAGATCTCTTGACCACTGCCTTTTTAGTCTTCGTTGAGGCTCACCAGGTAACACGGGAAAGATAGAGATAGAACGAGTGGATTTAGATAATTGAGAGTAGAAGAATGAAATGTGTACTTGTTGTGTATGTAGGATTTTACTTTTGGTATGTTCATGTCTGTGTGTATGGTGTGATTTGAAATAAATCAATGAGCATTGACGATTTTACGAAGTATTTTGGATTGTGTGGTTTGAATTTTGTTTATGTGTGTGCGTTTTGCAGAACCCCAAAGTTCTGCTCCGTATGTCAAAAAAGGTCTTAGTATGGTGGTGTAGATTAGTCGCTTGTTTAGTAAGTTGAGTGGAGATCTGTAGTCCAAAAAATGTGACAGCTGTTTCTATGTTCAGTTCTTTTTTTTTTTAATTTAGTGTGAATGTTCTAGATGAGTTTTTTTTGTCCAAGTATAGTCCGAGATACCGTACATGAGTTTTTGGGGGTACTGGCTTATTATCTATTGTCACGATGTCTTCCTCAGGGAGAAGCTAACGTGAGTTGACTATCTAGCATTGATTTTAATTCTCCATTTGTGAAACCATTTTTCAAGATCGTGCAGGTGATTTTGAAAGGCTATTGAAGCGATAGTGGGATCTTTGTGAGAAGAAAGAATTGCCGTATCGTCAGCAAAACTGTACAGAATGGTGCTAGAGTGCTCAGGGATATCAGATGTGCAGAGAGAAAATATAATGTTTATTAAAATATAATGTTTCATTAACTGTGATTTAATTAATCACAACTTCGATAATTTTCGGTACTATGTTCATTCTGGAGATTGAGAAATTGTGACAGTTTCAATATTATCCTGGAGACAGACCCCTTCTTATTGAATTATTAACTTCCATCTTAAACTCCGTGAATTGCTTAATCTTATCTTAGTCTACAATATTTTTTATTTCTTCGATATGGGGCATTCTCAATCTGGGGTTCGGTAAACTTTGTGTGTTTAATGAGATACCAAATTGATTAAAATACTCATTTTCTTTTCACTTCAATCGTAAGACAAAATCGATAAAGAAGGTGGCCAACAAAAAT